AAAGGAAAAGAAAAAAAGAACAAGGAGAAGCGAAGGGAAAGGAAATGAGAGGAGAAGAGAAAGGAGAAGAGAAGAGAAAGGAGAAGAGAAGAGAAAAGGAGAAGAGAATGGAAAGGAGAAGGAGAATGGAAGGAGAAGAGAATGGAAAGGAGAAGAGAATGGAAAGGAGAAGAGAATGGGAAAGGAGAAGAGAATGGAAAGGAGAAGAAAAGAGAAAGAGGAAGAAAAAGAAAAAAAGAACAAGAAGGGAAAAGGTGAAGAGAAGGGAAAAAGGCGAAGAGAAGGGAAAAAGGCGCAAGAGAAGGGAAAACGGGGAAGAGAAGGGAAAACGGCGAAGAGAGGGGAAAACGGCGAAGAGAAGGGAAAACGGGAAGAGAAGGGGGAAAACGGCGAAGAGAAGGGAAAAACGTGCGAAGAGAAGGGAAAAAGGCGAAGAGAAGGGTAAAAGGCGAAGAGAAGGGGAAAAAGGTGAAGAGAAGGGAAAAAGGTGAAAAAATGAGAAAAGGAGAAGAAAAGAGAAAAGGAGAAGAAAACAGAGAGGGAAGGGGAAGGGTGAGAGAAAGAGAGGGGCAGGACGACAGAGGAGGGGCAGACGACAGAGGAGGGGCAGAGGACAGAGGAGGGGGAGGGCAGACGACAGAGGAGGGGTAGATGACAGGAGGATTCTAGAAGAAGAAAAACAAAGAATTTAGAACATGTGGAATACAATAGAGAATACAAGTTGCCATACTATGCTTAGAATGGTGGTGTGGGTGAGACTATTACTTTTGGATGGACTTAAGCTGACCATAGATGAATGGAAATCTGGCAGGTTCAGCAGGCTGAATATCGATCGGTGTGAGGCTGTGCCTACTCAACAGAAGTCAATTGTTTCATAGACTTGTGTTGTAGGGACATGCTGGAAAATCAGCTGCACTAATCAGCGGCTGCAGCCAATGATCAGTGCATTCTGACAACAGCAGATCCAAACATGGTAATGTCACAGTGGGGAAGATTCTTCCACCCACTTTGTGTGGATAGAGGAATCTACTAGGTTTTTTTTTTCTTTTTTCAGCGGAAAAAAAAAAAAAAAAAAAAAAAGCCAACCTGTCTATGGGCAACCTTGGTCTACGGGGCCAGCCTTGGTCTACGGGGCCAGCCTTGGTCTACGGGGCCAGCCTTGGTCTACGGGGCCAGCCTTGGTCTACGGGGCCAGCCTTGGTCTATGTAACGCTCAATACTTCGCCATAAGAGTGTAGCTGGAATACTTCGTGGTGTTCAGCTGCCATCTAGTGGAGAAAATAGAGATGAAAGACACTGAAAAAAAGCAAAATAGGGAGGGCCAGTCATCACTCTACCATGTAACCCAAAGAATGCTTCCTCCTGATTTTTCTTCATGTTCCTAATCCACTCATTTCTCAAGTTAAGTTTATTGTTATAAAAATTTATTTTTTAATTAATTGCCAGTAGTAAGTGAAACTTGATATACAGGGCCAGGTACATCCAGAGGACAACTTAGGTACATCCAGAGGACAACTTAGGTGCACCTGCTTATGAATAGAAAGAGATACATAGCCTATCATAAGGCTGTAACTGAATACATAATGGATGCCGAGTGAAGAGGTTCAGTTCAGTTACAAATCTCCTCTCAAGAGCCAGTCCACTGCTTGCATTAGGGCTGAATACTCTTGAGAGGGGTACTGCGGCAGGGAGAGCTGCAGGTTGTCTACCCTAGCCTAGGCAATCGCAGCGGAATGTGGGAAATGGCCCCGTAGTCTTCTGGGACCTGTCACGTTGTCCCAGAAGACTACGGGGAAGGAGGGGGGGGGGGGGAACACAACTTTCGCTTCCAATCGCATCCTAGGTCAGGGGTAGGCAACCTGTGCCTCTCTAGCTGTTGTGAAATTACATTTTCCATGAGGCATTGCAAAGATTACAAAACTGGCAGTTACAGCTATGACTTGCAGAGGCATGATGGAACTTGTAGTCCTGCGGCTCTCAGGTTGCCTACCCCTGGCCTAGGCGATCGCAGCAGAAGTGGGAGCAGGTACCTGTCAAATTCGGGTACCCACTTCCCAAAGGTGCCAATCCTTAATGGTGAGCGGGGGACAAAGTCTTATAGTGGAAATTCCCCTTTTGAGTGGAGTTCTGCTTTAAGTGATTTGGTAACCGGTCACGAGCCACAATGAACTATGGGGTTTTATCGCCCCCCCCCCCCCCCCCCTTCAAACCACAACTATAAACTAGCCTAGCAGAACTGCAAACTAGAAGTCTAACACGGTGCAGGTTAGCTGCACTTTGCCATAGACTTCTTGTGGGTGTGGTGCGCCGACAGCGCACCGAAACTCCTGCTTTCAGAAAGCGCACCACATCCACAGGATAGAATAGAAGTCTGTGGCTCAGTGCAGCCAACCCGCAGGTGCTCTGTGCTGCATCTGCGGATCAGTATGAAAGCACCCTAATAGTTACCCCTTTTACAGGTGCTAATATACCCGCTGCAAAAGCTATGCCCTGTGTATGTGTTGTTTGATACACTGACCTTTTCCTCTTGCAGCTGCTGCTGGCATCGCTCTCCAGCCTGCTCTATATGGAGGAAGAGTGCTGGTGCTGCAGGAGAAGAAGATCGGCTTATGCGGCTCCTGCTCGATCCGCTGCCACCAACAATTTATCACCTGGCCCTCTGATGCTTCGGGATAAAAAGGTTGGCAAACCCAGATCGCGATCAATAAGTTGTCAACCCTGGGCATGTGCTTCCCTGGTTTTTTTTATTTATTTAAATATTTATGAATTTTTCAGATAGACAAGTTATACAAACACACTCATTAAAACTTTAGCATATTATCATTTATCGTTTCATCCTCCCCCCCCCCCTACCTACTGTATATACCACCCATCCCCATCCAATCCCTGACCCCTTCTGCTCTGCATTTTCCAGTTCATTTCTGGAGATCGTAATCCCTAGAAAAGAAGAACAAAATATACAGTTGCAAGAAAAAGTATGTGAACCCCTTGGGATTACGTGGAGTTTTGCATGAATTGGGTATAAAATGTGCTCTGAACGTCATCTAAGTCACAACAATAGAAGAACACAGTCTGCTGAAGATAATACTACACAAACATTAGATGTTGCCATGGTTTAATTGCACATAACATGTAAACATTCACAGTGCAGGGAGGAAAAAGTATGTGAGGCCCTAGCTTAATGACTTCTCCCAGAGCTAATTGGAGCCAGGAGTGAGCCAGCCTTGACTCCAATCAGTGTGATGATATTGGATGTGTTGCTGACAGCTGTCCTGCCCTTAAAAAACACACACCCTGTTTTGGGTTTACTGGTTTCAAGAAGCACTGTCTGATGTGAACCATGCCTCGCACAAAAGAGCTCTCAGAAGACCCTACGATCAAGAATTGTTGACTTGCATGAAGCTGGAAAGGGTTACAAAAGTATCTCCTTGAGCCTTGATGTTCATGTGTCCACGGTAAGACAGACTGTCTACAAATGGAGAAAGTTTAGCACTGTTGCTACTCTCCCTAGGCGTGGTCGTCCTGTAAAAATGACTGCAAGAGCACAGCGCAAAATGCTGCACGAGGTAAAGAAGAATCCCAGAGTGTCAGCTAAAGACCTACAGAAATCTCTGGCACATGCTAACATTTTTGTTGACACATCTACAATAAGGAAAACATTAAACAAGAATGGAGTACATGGGAGGACACCACGGAGGAAGCCATTGCTGGCCAAAAAGAAGATTGCAGCACGTTTGAAGTTTGCAAAAGAGCACCTGGATGTTCCACAGCACTGCTGGCAAAATATACTGTGGACAGATGACACCAAGATTGAGTTGTTTGGGAAGAACACACAACACTATGTGTGGAGAAAAAAAGGCACAGCACACCAACATCAAAACCTCATCCCCACTGTGAAACATGACGGAGGGAGCATCATGGTTTGGGGCTGCTTTGCTGCCTCAGGGCCTGGACGGATTGTTGTCATTGATGGGAAAATGAATTCCAGAGTTTATCAAGACATTTTGCAGGAAAACGTACGACCATCTGTCCGCCAACTGAAGCTCCGCAGAGGATGGGTGATGCAACAGGACAATGACCCAAAGCATACAAGTAATTCAACAAAACAATGGCTGCAACAGCACAGAATACGCCTTCTGGAGTGGCCCAGTCAGAGTCCTGACCTCAACCCCATTGAAATGCTGTGGCATGACCTTAAGAGAGCGATTCACACCAGACATCCCAAGAATATTGCTACACTGAAACAGTTTTGTGAAGAGGAGTGGTCCAAAATGACTCCAGATCGTTGTGCAGGTCTGATCTGCAACTACAGGAAACGTTTGGTTGAGGTTATTGCTGCCAAAGGAGAGTCAACCAGTTATTAAGTCCAAAGGTTCACATACTTTTTCCTCCCTGCACTGTGAATGTTTACATGTTATGTGCAATTAAACCATGGCAACATCTAATGTTTGTGTAGTATTATGTTCAGCAGACTGTGTTCTTCTATTGTTGTGACTTAGATGACGTTCAGAGCACATTTTATGCCCAATTCATGCAAAACTCCACGGAATCCCAAGGGGTTCACATACTTTTTCTTGCAGCTGTATTTCCATATTATTCTATGTTAACCCCCCATAACCTCTAAGGCTAGCCTTGACTTTTTGAATTCCTCCCATTTGTTCCATCTTGTATGGTGACTCTCCATCTTATCTTCATTCAAATGATAAAGTTCCTCCAATTTACATATTTGATCCACCCAGTCCTTTATTTTCGGCACCTCCTGTCTCCTCCAGTACTTGGGTATCGGTCCCTTTGCTGCATTCAAATAGTACAATAAACCAGATTCGTTGTATTTTTTTTATTTTTTTGTGTTTTTTTTTTATTTAAATGTTTAATTACGGATTTCACTTTACAGATTAATCTTTCTTGGCTGCAGCCTTTCTCATGGCAGCCAACACATTGCTGAGTTCTTCTCTCTTTCTCTTAGCCCTGATGTGAGTTCCAATCCTTTTTTTGATGAACTAAAGAGCTCTTTTGTCCTTTGACACTTTGAGCAACTCCATGGCACGTCTTTCATATGGGGCAAAACCACATACTTCACGTATCATGTCACGGACAAATTTGGTGTGCTTTGTCAGGCGCCCACTCCTGCGAGAGTGTCTGGGCTTGGATACATTCTTGGTCACTGGATGGCCTTTATTAAGGCCTACAGCCATTGGGTACCTGATTGCGTCCACACCGGAAGGGGTTCGTTGCCTTTTTCATAGTACTAAGCTGTCAGTTAAATACAAGTCTCTGGGTCTACTAGAATATCAACCTCTGTAATTTTCTGAATCAAGTTTACTATTTTCCCCCAATACTCTTGTATTCTAGAACACTCCCACCATATGTGGTACATTGTGCTTCTACCTCCACGCCAACATAAAGGTGAATAATCTCCACTCAATCTGTGTGCCACACTCGGTGTGATATACAGTCAGGTCCATAAATATTGGGACATGGACACAATTCTAACATTTTTGGCTCTATACACCACCACAATGGATTTGAAATGAACAAGATGTGCTTTAACTGCAGACTGTCAGCTTTAATTTGAGGGTATTTACATCCAAATCAGGTGAACGGTGTAGGAATGACAACAGTTTGCATATGTGCCTCCCACTTGTTAAGGGACCAAAAGTAATAGGACAGAATAATAATCCTAAATCAAACTTTCACTTTTTAATACTTGGTTGCAAATCCTTTGCAGTCAATTACAGCCTGAAGTGTGGAACGCATAGACATCACCAGACGCTGGGTATCATCCCTGGTGATGCTCTGCCAGGCCTCTGCTGCAACTGTCTTCAGTTCCTGCTTGTTCTTGGGGCATTTTCCCTTCAGTTTTGTCTTCAGCAAGTGAAATGTTCAATCGGATTCAGGTCAGGTGATGGACTTGGCCATTGCAGAACATTCCACTTCTTTCCCTTAAAAAACTCTTTGGTGTCTTTTGCAGTCTGCTTTGGGTCATTGTCCATCTGCACTGTGAAGCGTCCAATGAGTTGTGAAGCATTTGGCTGAATATGAGCCGATAATATTCCCGAAACACTTCACAATTCATCCGGCTGCTTCTGTCAGCAGTCACATCATCAATAAATACAAGAGAAGCAGTTCCATTGGCAGCCATACATGCCCACGCCATGACACTACCACCACCATGATCACTGATGAGGTGGTATGCTGAGGACCATGAGCAGTTCCTTCTCCATACTCTTCTCTTCCCATCACTCTGGTACAAGTTGATGTCGGTCTCATCTGTCCATAGGATGTTGTTCCAGAACTGTGAAGGCTTTTTTACATGTCGTTTGGCAAACTCTAATCTGGCCTTCCTGTGTGTTTGAGGCTCACCAATGGTTTCCATCTTGTGGTGAACCCTCTGTATTCACTCTGGTGAAGTCTTCTCTTGATTGGTGACTTTGACACACATACACCTACCTCCTGGAGGGTGTTCTTGATCCGGCCAACTGTTGTGAAGGGTGTTTTCTTCACCAGGGAAAGAATTCTTCGCTCATCCACCACAGTTGTTTTCCGTGGTCTTCCGGGTCTTTTGGTGTTGCTGAGCTCACCGGTGCGTTCCTTCTTTTTAAGAATGTTCCAAACAGTTGTTTTGGCCACGCCTAATGTTTTTGCTATCTCTCTGATGGGTTTGTTTTGTTTTTTCAGCCGAATGATGGCTTGCTTCACTGATAGTGACAGCTCTTTGGATCGCATCTTGAGAGTTGACAGCAACAGATTCCAAATGCAAATAGCACACTTGAAATGAACTCTGGACCTTTTATCTGCTCATTGTAATTGGGATAATGAGGGAATAACACACACCTGGCCATGGAACAGCTGAGAAGCCAATTGTCCCATTACTTTTGGTCCCTTAACAAGTGGGAGGCACATATGCAAACTGTTGTAATTCCTACACCGTTCACCTGATTTGGATGTAAATACCCTCAAATTAAAGCTGACAGTCTGCAGTTAAAGCACATCTTGTTCGTTTCATTTCAAATCCATTGTGGTGGTGTATAGAGCCAAAAATGTTAGAATTGTGTCAATGTCCCAATATTTATGGACCTGACTGTACCATCTTGCCAAACACTTCGAATTCATTGCTTCCCTGGTTTGAGGCACATGTAGCCCGCGGTCCACGGGTTGAGCGCCCTTGCAATAAGTAGTTCACCTCTGTGCTTCCAGCAGTCATGTGATCAGGAGAGGAAGAACCATGCCCGTCATCAGTCCTTCGCTCTAGTTGCAGCTCTTACCATGCAGACGTCACCAGCTCACCTGCCTTTTCCTGCAAGGCCCTGTGATAGAGGTTGTAGAACTCTCGGGCGATGGTGTCCGCCAGCTTCTCGCACCAGTTCTTGGAAGGACAGAAGATCAGGATGGAGTGACCTTCCCGTATGGTCTCATAACACAAGCTGACAATGTGATCGTCGTCACCCTGCAGACAAAGACATGGCGAGGACATATCAGCCAGGGAGAACACAGCTTAGTATTTGTATGAGCTACACGAACCTGTGCCAAATGTATATAAATCAGACTGCAAACCTACCTCATCCCTCATCTATCATAGAAAGAACCATAAAAACCAAATGGGACGTTACTGGCACAAATGTAGTGCACATTCTGGTCCAGGTTCAAAGACCGCTATGGTTTTTTCAGGATTTCTATTAGATTATCTACTCAGTTTAAAAAAAATAAAATAAAATAAATGAAAACACAACAAAACATGAACCTGCAGACTAGCTCCCCTTCCCTCCAGGCTCCATATTACATTCCCACCACTAGACTTTCCTCATTCATGGCCTACCCTGCTCCAGCCACCTCCAGGCTATCCTCCCCCTCCCATCAAGGCTGTCCTTACTCCTCCATACTACTTTCCCATCTCTGGACTATCCTTCCCTCTGAAACGGCCTAACCCGTTTGAGGCTATCCTCCCTTTCCCTCTAGGCTGTCTTTAACCCCTCGCCCTCCAGACGACATACCCCCCCCCCCTTAATGACCGGGCCTCTTTATGCTATTTCAACTGACAATTATGCGTTCATGCAGCACTGCACCCAAATGAAATTTACGTCCTTTTTTTCCCATGAATTGAGCTTTCTTTCGGTGGTATGTGTGGTTTTTTTTTGCGCTATAAATTTAAAAAAAAAAAAAAACAACAAATTTGAGAAAAAAAAAAAAAATATTTTGGACTTTTTGCTATAGGACTCAGTAAAAAAAAAAAAAAAAAAAAACTTAAAAATCTAATTTTGTCATAAATTTAGGCCAAAATGTCTTCTGTGACGTCTTTTGCTGGAAAAAAAAAAAATCACAATATGTTTAAATTAATTGGTTTACATGAAAGTTATGGGCAGCACAGTAGCTACATGGTTAGCACTTCCGCCTGGCAGCACTGGGGTCGTTGGTTCTAATCCCAGTCACGGTAACTCCTGCCTGGAGTTTGCATGTTGCATGGGTTTCCTGCAGGTACTCCGGTTTCCTCCCACACTCCAAAGACATGCTGGTAGGTTAACTGGATCCTGTCTAAATTGGCCCAAGTATCTGTACAGTGGGACAAAAAAGTATTTAGTCGCCACCAATTGTGCAAGTTCTCCCACTTAAAAAGATGAGAGAGGCCTGTAATTGGCATCATAGGGAGACCTCAACTATGAGAGACAAAATGAGAAAACAAATCCAGACAATCTCATTGGCTGATCTGGAAAGAATTTATTTGCAAATTATGGTGGAAAATAAGTATTTGGTCACCTACAAACAAGCAAGATTTCTGGCTCTCACAGACCTGGACCTTCTTCTTTAAGAGGCTCCTCTGTCCTGCACTCATTACCTGTATCAATGGCACCTGTTTGAGGTTGTGGACAGGTGTCTTTTATACTGATAACACGTTCAAACAGCCACACTCCAAACTCCACTATGGTGAAGACCAAAGAGCTGTCGAAGGACACCAGAAACAAAATTGTAGACCTGCACCAGGCTGAGAAGACTGAATCTGCAATAGGCAAGCAGCTTGGTGTGAACAAATCAACTGTGGGAGCAATAATTAGAAAATGGAAGACATACAAGACCACTGATTATCTCCCTCGATCTGGGGCTCCACGCAAGATCTCACCACGTGGGGTCAAAATGATCACAAGAACGGTGAGCAAAAATCCCAGGACCACACGGGGGGACCTAGTGAATGACCTGCAGAGAGCTGGGACCAACGTAACAAAGGCTACCATCAGTAACACACTACGCTGCCAGGGGCTCAGATCCTGCAGTGCCAGACGTGTCCCCCTGCTTAAGCCAGTACATGTCCGGGCCCGTCTGAAGTTTGCTAGAGAGCATTTGGATGATCCAGAAGAGGATTGGAGAATGTCATATGGTCAGATGAAACCAACATAGAACTGTTTGGTAGAAACACAACTCGTCGTGTTTGGAGGAGAGAGAATGCTGAGTTGCATCCAAAGAACACCATACCTACAGGCCAGAGTACTTGGTGTCATTCTGGACTCCAATCTATCCTTCCAGCCCCAAGTCCAATCTTTAACAAACTCGTGCAGACTCCACCTCCGCAACGTGCAGACTCCACCTCCGCAACATGCAGACTCCACCTCCGCAACATGCAGACTCCACCTCCGCAATATCGCCAAAATCCGTACGTTCCTAACCCCAGAAACCACTAAACAGCTCATCCACTCCCTCATCATATCACGACTCGACTACTGCAACTCCCTCCTCACTGGCCTGCCTCGCCGCTGGCTATCCCCGCTTCAGTCCATCCTGAATACGGCTGCCAGACTCATTCACCTTTCCAACCGCTCCGTTTCCGCCACCACCCTCTGCCAATCCCTCCTCTGGCTTCCGATTGCGCAACGAATCAAATTCAAAATCCTAACACTGACGTACAAAGCCGTCCACCATACTGCCCCCGAACTACATCACTGACCTAATATCCAAGTACCACCCAACATGCACTCTCCGCTCCTCACAAGACCTCCTTCTCTCTAGTTCCCTGGTCTCCTCCTCCCATGCCCACCTCCAGGACTTCTCCAGGGTGTCACCCATCCTCTTGAACTCCCTACCCCAATCCATCAGACTATCACCTACTCTCCTCTCCTTTAGGCGCACCCTGAAAATCCATCTCTTCAGGGAAGCCTACCCCACCCCCTGCTAACTTGCCGACCTCCTCCACTCTTCCTACCACTCCATC